CTTCGGCGCCTCCGGCGCCTCCGGCGCCTCCGGCGCCTTCGGCGCCTTCGGCGCCTCCTTTTTTTCTTTTTTTTTTTCTTTTTTTTTTCTCCTCGCCACTGGCCCCACCACTTGGCCCCACATGAAAAAAGTGCCTTTTTTCGTGGGGCCGGTGGCGAGGAGAAAAAAAAAAGAAAAAAAACAGGCGCCAACCGCGCCGAAAAGACCCAGAGGCGACAAAGGCGGCGACGCGCGGACTCGTCCCGCCGACCCGTCTTTAAACCCCTCTCGCGAGCGCGGCGAGCGCCAGAGAGGTTCCCCCAACGTTCCCCCAGCCGGGGAGTTTCACCTGACTTGCAGTCAGGCATTTTCGCGCTACAGAGAGCGTTTATTTAGCGCATAGGAGATGGTAACATTTCCCAACCACCTAGGAGGCGGTTCACTGGGTTATGGGCCCACTGTGCTAGCACACTGCGCAGCACAGAGTCGAGGCGCCGGAGCGGCAGCCTCGGGAGCGACCAGAGCGTCGCCACACCGCCGCAGAGCGGGCGGCGGCGAAGCGCGCCGCCGGCGGTCCGCCGCGGCCTGGCAATGGCCGGCGACGACGACTTCGCCGACCCGACTCTCACCCAGCTCCCGGTCGTGGCCCGCCGCCACGCCCGACTCGCTGCGGGGGAGCAGAGAGGTTCCCCCAACGTTCCCCCAGCCGGGGAGTTTCACCTGACTTGCAGTCAGGCATTTTCGCGCTACAGAGAGCGTTTAGCGCATAGGAGATGGTAACATTTCCCAGCCACCTAGGAGGCGGTTCACTGAGCGCCGCGCGGCCCCGGGCCGCCAGGAACCGAGTTGCAGTGGGACGCGGAAGGTATGCGACAGCGTGCCGACGCACTGGAAGCGCTGGAAGGGCGCTTCGTGCTCCGCAGAACCACTGGCACGTTCAATGATCGGATTTATTCAACAAAAACGCATGCCGCGGCGTTGCCGAGTGATAAAAATAAGCGTGTCTCACGGCCTGGACGTCGTCGCAGGGCAGCGGCTCCCGGGGCGGGTCCTGAGCGTCGATTGGACGCAGATAATTACGACGAACGCGACCTCCGTCGCCCGCCGCATCCGATGGTACAATTTATCTGCGTCCAATCAACCCAAGAGCGGCGAAACCTTAACGGCCGCGGGCGCAGAGGCCCTGGGGCTGGAGAGGCAACGATGGGAGACGATTGGGCTAGGAAAATTGCAAAGGACCCGACGCAATGGTGGTATGGAATGGATCGAGACCATCCCTTGGGGTAGGGGCAGCGCCACACGCCCCACGGCCACCGTCGAGACGACGCGGCGCAGGAGCTCGACTCCATGAAATCGATGATTTCGGACTCTCACGACGAGCCCGCCGCGCCGAAGGCGATGGGGTTGATGAGGAACGATCACAGCTGCTGCCATGGCTCGAACTCGGAGGACGAGGGGTCGCGAGGGGGCAGCGCGTCCCTCCCCACCCACTCTACCTCCCCGTTCCAGTCCCCACGCGGTCGTATGAGCGTCGCGTCTTCGCACGTGCCTCAACCTTGTCCTTGCGGACCTCGCAGCCGCTGGGATCGTTGCACAATTCGGCATATTCGCGGAGCGGCGGGCACTCAAAGACGGCCATCCCATCGCAGCGCGCCTCAAAGCGTAGCTAGCCCGAGAGCCATTCGTTTGATTGAATGTCGCCGATCATCGTTCAAGCATCAACGTAGCTTTTTGTCAAGATTCTTGAAAGCCCCAAGGTTTGTCGTTCCGGCGAGCACGAAGGGCGCGTCACATGCAGGACGTCGATGCAAAACACCGTTTCCGCGCTCAGACGCTACCTCCGAGCTCCTGCTGATAGTGTGTGCTTGGGACGAGCATGGACATGGATGGTACCATCGTGCAGAT